TTTGTTTGTTTGTTTGTTTTTCAGTTGAATAGTGTTCCTTCCATACTTTGTTTAATCAGACCCTGGTAAAATGCACACTTAATACTGTTTCCAATCTTTTTTTTTTTTTTTTGAGACAAGTTCTCGCTGTGACACCCACCCAGGCTAAAGAAGTAGCACAATCATGGCTTGTTGCAACCTCGACCTCCCAGTCTCAAGCAATCCTCCCACCTCAGCCTCCCGAGTAGCTGGGACAACAGGCATGCGCCACCATGCCTGGCTAATTTCTTTTTTTCATAGAGACGGGGCCTATGTTTCCCAGGTTGGTCTCGAACTCCTGGGCTCAAGCAATCCTTCTGCCTCAGCCTCCCAAAGTGCCTGCACCCGGCTCCAATCTTTTCTTTTTTTTTTTGAAATGGAGTTTCACTCTTGTTGCCCAGGCTGCAGTGCAGTGGCACGATCTGGGCTCACTGTAGCGTCCGCCTCCCAGGTTCAAGTGATTCTCCTGCCTCAGCCTCCCAGGTAGCTGGGATTACAGGCACACACCACCAGGCCAGGCTAATTTTTGTATATCTAGTAGAGATGGGGTTTCGCCATGTTGGCCAGGCTGGTCTCGAACTCCTCACTTCAAGTGATCCACCCGCCTCGGCCTCCCAAAATGCTGGGATTACAAGCATGAGCCAACATGCCCGGCCTCCAGTCTTTCGTTATTAGAAGCCATGCTACTGTAAATTACCTGGTACATCATCCTTGCTCAGCTCTACCTATAAGAATAAAATGTAGACTCAGGACTGCTGACTCAGAGGGCAAATGCATTTACAACTTTGATAAATATTGCGGAATTGCCCTCCGTAGGGAATATAACACATTGAATTCCCACCGGCAACATACGAAGGTTTATTTTTCTTAAGGGAACCAAATAAAATACTTTTCTTATTGAAAACAAAAACATAGTCCTCATGGAGGACTGGGAAATACAATCACAGAGCAGAAAGTAAAAATTACTCAGAATCAGAATGTGTGGAGACCTCCCAGATTTGCAATCTGGCATATTTCCCTCAAGTCTTGATTCATACCCTGCATACTGTTCCAGAACCCGATTTATTCACTCCACCAATATTTTGTGAACAGCGTTGTCTCATGTCTGTAAATATTTTTTCATTATACCTTCAGAGCGACAACGGAACAGAGATATTAATTAAGCAATGGACCCGGGTTGAAATCTCGGCTCCATTGCTGTCTATCTGTGCAATGTTGGGCAAATTATGTAAGTATTCCAGGCTTCAATTTCTTCTTTGTGAAATGAGGATCATAAAAGCACCTACCTGTAGAATTATTGTGAGAGTTGAGTGCATCAGAACACATGAAACGAGCAAACAAAGCTTGGCACAGTAAACACTATAAATGTGGCCAGGCGCGGTGGCCCACGCCTGTAATCCCAGCACTTTGGGAGGCCCAGGTAGGTAGATCACCTGAGATCAGGAGTTTGAGATCAGCCTGGCCAACATGGTGAAACCCCATCTCCACTAAAAATACAAAAATTCGCCAGGCGTAGTGGTGGGCGCCTGTAATCTCATATACTGTGGAGGCTGAGGCAGGAAAATCGCTTGAACCCGGGAGGCAGAGGTTGCAGTGAGCCAAGGTTGCACCATGCACTCCAGCCTGGATAACAAGAGCAAGACTCCATCTAAACACACACACACACACACACACACACACCCATCCACCCCCCCCACACACAATAAATGTTAGCCGATGCTGCATCATTTTTGACTGCCTGGTGTTTCCTTGGATGGACACGCCATAGTTTGTTGGATAAATTCCTTGTCGCTAGACATTTAGGTTATTTCTGTGTTTTCGGCACTACTTCGATGATGCAGCCTGGTGGATATAGCTTTATCCCGATCCCTTGTTTACCTCTGCTGAGGGAGGTGAGGGGACAAGTGTGGCCCGTCCCTCATGGCTGCTCAGGGTCTACCTTGATGTGCTCCTTTGGAACTCTCTGGAGTTGGTTTTCACACCCCTTTTCCTCTGGATTTTCCTTCCTTCCTGCAGGCTCGAGAGGCAGGGTCTGGGCTTTCTGGTGCCTCTCTCAGCCCTACCACCTGTGTCAACTGGGTCGCTTCTCTTGTCTAAGAGAAGGCCAGAGCCTTAAAGCCATCAGTCTACCAATGAATGGATTTTACACATGTGGTCCAGCCATACAATGGAATATTATTCAGCAGTAAACAGGAATGAAGTCCTGATGCATGCTATGACATGGATGAAATTTGACAATATTATGCCAAGTGGAAGAATACAAAAGAGCAAAAATGAAACACAAAAAGACCAGATCTTGTAGGATTCCATTCATATGAAATGCCCGCAATAGGCGAATACGTAGAGATAGAAAGTAGGTTAGGGTTGCCAAGGGCTAGGTGGAGGGGAAATGGGCAGTGACTGCTCATCACTACAGGGTTGCTTTTTTTTTCTTTTTTTTCTTCTTCTTTTTTTTTTTTTGTTTGAGATGGCGCCCCATTCTGTCACCCAGGCTGGAGTACAGTGGCGTCATCTCAGCTTACTGCAACCTCCACCTCCCGGGTTCAAGAGATTCTCCTGCCTCAGCCTCCTGAGTAGCTGGGATTACAGGTGCGTGCCACCACGCCTGGCTAACTTTTTGTGTTTTTAGTAGAAATGGGGTTTCTCCATGTTAGCCAGGATGGTCTCAATCTCCTGACCTCGTGATCCACCAGCCTCGGTCTCCCAACGTGCTGGGATTACAGGCGTGAGCCACCGTGCCTGGCCACTACAGGGTTTCTTTATGGGGGGATGGAATGTTCTGGAATCTGATGGTAATGGTTGTACAACCTTGTGAATATACTAACCCCCCACTGAATTATTTACTTCCAAGGGGTCAATTTTATCTAATAAATAAATAGCAAAAGGCAACTGAGTAGACCTAAGGTTGGGGGGACATGAGGAGCCACCACTGGTTTGTCACCCAGCAGAATAAAGTTTAAAGCTATGGCCTGCGAGGCCCTTTGCAAACCTTGCTGCTCATTAAAACCACCTGTGAAGCTTAAAAAAAATCTCAGTTTCCAGGATGCTCCCAGACCAAGTAAACTTAGTGAATCCAAAGGGCATCCAGGGCTGGGAGCTAGCCCCCGCATGGTCTTAAAACAACAACAAAACAAATAAAACTAAATATCTGGCCTGAATGGGGAGGACCCCAAGGCCCAGAGAGGTGAATGCATTTGCTTAGTAAATCATGGGCGGCCCCATTGTTACTGGAAAGGGGTCCCGATCCAGACCCCAAGAAAGGCTTTTTGGGCCTCGTGCAAGAAAGAATTCGGGGTGAGTTCATACGGTAAAGTGAAGGCAAGTTTATTAAGTAAGCAAATAAAGTATGGTTACTCCATAGGCAGAGCAGTCCTGAGGGCTGCTGGTTAGCTATTTTTTTGGTTATTTCTTGCTTATATGCTAAACAAGGGTGGGTTATTCATGAGTTTTCCCGGAAAGGGGTGGGCAATTCCTGGAACTGAGGGTTCCTCCCACTTTTAGACCATATAGGGTAACTTCCTGATGTTGCCATGGCATTTGTAAACCGTGATGGCGCTGGTGGGAGTGTCTTTTAGTATGCTAATGCATTATAATTAGCATATAGTGAGCAATGAGGATGACCAGAGGTCACTTTCGTCGCCATCTTGGTTTTGGTGGGAGTTGGCTGGCTTCTTTACTGCCTCTTGTTTTATCAGCAAGGTCTTTGTGACCTGTACCGTGTGCCGACCTAGCTCATCCTATGACTAAGAATGCCTCACCTCCTGGGAATGAAGCCCAGTGGGTCTCAGCCTCATTTTACACAGCCCCTATTCAAGATGGAGTTGCTCTGGTTCAAACACCTCTGACACTGGTAGGCAGACTCATTACTTTGTGCACCAAAGCTTGGGCTCTGGAACCACGTGGGCCTGGGTTCAAATTCCAAATCTATCACTTTAACCTAATTGCCTAAACCTCTCTGGGCATCAGCTTCCTCATCCAGGTGAATAGTACCTGCTCTTCAGGGATCAGATGAGGCACCACATGCAAAGGGCTTCTCCTAGTGTCTGGCACATCATGAACCTTGTTTTAAGCATTTTATTAGCAATTTCTACTGCTTGGAGGGGAGTAAGGGGGCATGACTCTGACCCAATTTACCTGCCCCCACCATCTTTTTGAGAGAGGGCCTCACTCTGTCACCCAGGCTGGAGTTCAGTGACAGGATCCTAGCTCACTGTAGCCTCAGAACTCCTGGGCTCAGGCAATTCTACCGCCTCAGCCTCCTACATGTGGGTGCCACTACACCCAGCTAATTTTTTAATTTTAATTTTTTGTAGAGATGGGGTCTCACTATGTTGCCCAGGCTGGTCTTGAACTCCTGGAATCAATCCATCCTCCTACCTTGGCCTCCCAAAGTGCTGGGATTGCAGGTATAAGCCACTGCACTTGGCTTCAATTTACTTGTCCTTTTATACCTTCAATAATCATAAGAATTTTTGAGCTCTTGACTATTCCAGGTACTCTACAGGGTACCACCCCCATAAGGCCAACACGGGGAGCAAGGTATGGGAAAATGGGTGTCTTGCTCTAGGTCCCCCGATTGAACCCTGAGTTCTCTTCTATATGGATGTATACAGGGGTGGGAGGTAGGAATAGGGCGGCCCAGCCTCTGTAACTCTCCCGGTGGTAGCTTCTCTGGGGTGGGAATCACTTCCTTTCTTTGTCCATAACACCAAGCATAAACCCTGGCACCTTAAAAGGAGCTCAAGCAGCCGAGTGCGGTGGCTCATGCCTGTAATCCCAGCACTTTGGGAGGCCGAGGCGGGTGGATCACTTGAGGCCAGGAGTTTGAGACCAGCCTGGCCCAACGTGGCAAAAACCCGTCTCTACTAAAAATACAATAATTAGCCGGGCGTCGTTGGGGCACATCTGTAATCCCAGCTACTCAGGAGACTGAGGCAGGAGAATCGCTTGAACTCTGGAGGCAGAGGTTGTGTTGAGCTGAGACTGTGCCACTGCACTCCAGCCTGGGCGAGAGTGAGATCCTGTCTCAAAAAATAAAAATAAAATAAAAAAGAGCTCAAGCAATGTTTGCGGAGCTCTGCCAGGGCTGTAGAGCAGCTCCGCTGCTGGCGAGAGGTCACGCGGTGCAGCTGCAGTCCTCCGTGTGGCCACGAGGGGTCTCCACGCTCCACCGAATGGCTGGAGGGTCTCTCCTAAGGCTCCGCGGCAGGCCATGGCTAACCCGCAGCCCCTGGACACTGAGCACGAGGGTAACAGGGTGGGACGCCAGGCTCTGGCCTCCCAGGGTGCCATTCGTCCTCCCTGCTGTCCTCCTCTGGGGTCAGGTTACAGATCACCATGAGGTCCTGCCTCAGGTTGTCATAGCCTGTCAGGGGCTGGGGCCCTGCTTCATGAGGGCTGAACACCTACTGTGTGCTCCTTCTGCCTGCTCTGAGGCTGTCGTGGCCTGTCAGGGGCTGGCGGCTTCACACTGGCTGAATACCTACTGTGTGCTCCTTCTGCCTGCTCTGAGGCTGTCGTGGCCTGTCAGGGGCTGGGGGCTTCACGCTGACTAAACACCTGCTGTGTGCTCCTCCTGCCTGCTCTGAGGCTGTCGTGGCCTTTAAGAGGCTGGGGGTGTGCTTCACTACTGTGTGCTCTTTCTGCCTGCTCCTTTTCTTTAAACCCCACTGCCACAACCGTGGAAGCAGGTGTTGTTTTATTTTCTTTTTTTTTCTTTCTTTCTTTCTTCTTTTTTTTTTTTTTTAAATAAGCCTTTATTTCCTTGTTTTGCAAATAAAGCTGGCTAAGTTGGTTGCTTTTTGGTGATTAGTCGAAGAGACCAAATCCCGTATACTCATCCAACTCCTCCAACTCTTCCTTGGCTTCAACCTTAGCTGAGGCTGCAGCAGCAGCAGCAGCAGGAGCAGCCGTGGTGGCAGCGGCCACAGGGAGAGCAGCCACAAAGGCAGATGGATCAGCCAAGAAGGCCTTGACCTTTTCAGCAAGCAGGAAGGTGTCATCAGTCTCCACAGACAAGGCCAGGACTCCTTTGTACCCGTCGATGATAGAATGGGGCACTGATGCAACAGTTGGGTACCCGATCTGCAGACAAACACTGGCAATATTGCGGACACACTCCAGGAAGCGAGAATGTGGTTTCCTCTGTGATGTCAAGCACTTCAGGATTGCAGATACCGCCATTGTCAAACACCTGCTGGATGACCAGCCCAAAGGAGAAGGGGGAGATGTTGAGCATGGTCAGCAGCTTAGCTTCACTGGCTCCCACTTTGTCTCCCGTCTTGATCAGCTGCACATCACTCAGGATTTCAATGGTGCCCCTGGAGATTTTAGTGGTGATACCTAAAGCCTGGAAAAAGGAGGTTTTCTCGGGCCCCAGACCAGTATTCTGGGCTGGCACAGTGACTTCACATGGGGTAATGGCACCAGCATGGGTGGCAGCTGGTACCTTACTGGCCAGTAGCATGTCCATGATCTCAGTGAGGTCCTCCTCGGTGAACACAAAGCCCACATTCCCCTGGAAATGAGGCAGCAGTTTCTCCAGAGCTGGGCTGTTTTCCAGGTGCCCTCGGACGGCCTTGCACATCATGGCGTTCTTGCCCATCAGCACCACGGCCTTCCCACGGAGGGACATGCGGATCTGCTGCATCTGCTTGGAGCTCACATTGTCTGCTCCCACGACGAAACATTTCAGATAATCATCTAATAGTTGGATGATCTTAAGGAAGGGGTTGGGTTTCCAGGTTGCCCTGTCTTCCCTAGGCATCACGGCGGTGCGTCAGGGATTGCCACGCAGGGTTTAAAGATGATGTCACTTCCACGAGGATGCCTGGAGAGAGGCAGGCGCTGTTTTCTATGCTGCCTGGGGAGTGAAGAGAGGTGGGGTTGGTGGGGTTGGGACTCCAACTCAATTCTGCCTCGTTTCAAAGCCTGTGTTCCTTTGGTGTCTCTCTACTCCTGTTAGCACCCCCAGGGCATCTCAGGCCTGGCTTCTGGACAAGCCGACTGGGCCTGAATCTCACACACCCAGTTGCTCACATAGTCACACCCACGCACACTGACACATACGTGGGCCCCACACCCCATCCACACCTGGAACCTCAGAGCTCAGCAGGGATTTGATACTCAGTTCTTCAAACCAGCTTCTCATCGAGGGGGTGGGCGGGGGGGAGTTATAAGAGCAATTGCTGTAATCCAATCGTCTCTGTTCTTCTTGTTTTCTTCTCTCAGAATATACTTTGCATTAAGGCCTTGTCTTCTTGGTTCCCATGAGAACGCTGTGCTTTTTCTTAAATGAAGGTTCGTTGATCGTTTTTTCCTGTTATTACAAAAGCAATTTGTGCCACTGCAAAAAAACACAGAGAAGCCAAGAGAACAAAAACTCCTCCCTCCACTCCTGCAGGGACAGCCCAGGCTGACAGGTGTGGCACTGTCCTCCCCACACCCCTCCTCCCCAGCACAGCCTCCTCCTGCCATGGAGGCCTGGCGTCCTCATGAGGCCTGAGCTGCTTCTTCCAGATGGGGCTCCCAGGCTGGGACTCAGAGGCTGGGTCTTCATCCTGCCCCATCACTGGGGCCCACGTGTTCTTGGCAGGTCCTCCCCATTTTGGGGTGGGAAGGGGATGATCTCAAAGGGTCTTCTGCCCTCACACTCAAGGATCCTGTTCTTTTATTCCAGACAGATGTATCTGGGGCTGGGCTGAGCAGCAGCTATTAGGAGTTCCTAATATGTTTAGTTCGAGGCGAGTCTTGAACTCCTAACCTCGTGATCTGCCTGCCTCGGCCTCCCAAAGTGTGGGGATTATAGGCAAAAGTCCCCGCACCCGGCCTGCTCCTGGGCATCCTAAGCTGCAGGTGTGGCTCCAAGGACTCTGGTTCATCAGTGCTGGTTTCATTCATTTATTTATTGAGACAGGGTCTCACTCTGTCATGCAGGCTAGAGTGCAGTAGCACCATCGCAGCTCACTGCAGCCTCAACCATCCAGACTCAGGCTGTCCTCCCACTTCAGCCTCCCAAGTAGCTGGGACCACAAGTACACACCACTACGCCTGGCTAATTTTTATATCTTTTGTAGAGACGAGGTCTTGCTGCGTTGCCCAGACTGGTCTTGAACCCCTAGACTCAAAAGATCCTCCGGCCTCAGCCTCCCACAGGGCGGGGATTACTCAGCCCCCAGTGCTGGTTATTGCTGAGGTAGCCCAGACAGAGAAGGTTGATACCAGAGTGAGCCCAGGCAGCTGGAATTGGAGTGGACAGAACAGCAATAGGAGACCCTCACACACCCAGGCTGACTTGCTCAGCATCTCTGTCTCAGGTCCCACATCTGTAACATGGGGTAAAGCAGGGGTCCCCAAACTTTTTGGCATCAGGGACCTGTATAAGCAGTGCATAAGAACAGGAGCGGTGGCTTACACCTGTAATCCCAGCACTTTGGGAGGCCGAGGTGGGTGGATCAGCTGAGGTCAGGAGTTTGACACCAGCCTGACCAACACACAGAAACCCTGTCTCTACTAAAAAAAAAAATACAAAATTAGCCAGACATGGTGGCAAGCACCTGTAATCCCAGCTTCTCAGGAGGCTGAGGCAGGAGAATTGCTTGAACCCAGGAAGCGGCAGTTGCCGTGAGCCGAGATCGCGTCATTGCACTCCAGCCTGGGCACCAAGAGCGAAACTCTGCCTCAAAAAAAAAAAAGAGTGCATAATGTAGATCCCTCACATGTGCAGTTCACAGTAAGGTTCATGCACCTGAGAATCTACTGCTGCTGCTGATCTAGCAGGAGGCGGCACTCAGGCAGTAATGAGAGTGATGGGGAGTGGCTGTAAATACAGATGAAGCTTCTCTCATTTGCCCTCCGCTCACCCCATGATGTGTGGCCCAGTTCCTAACAGGCCACAGACCAGTACCAGTCCACAACCTGGGAGCTGGGGACCCCTGGGATAAAGAAACCAGCCCAGCAGTTAAGAATTTGAGGTTTGGGAATATACCATCCTGAGTTCAAGCCCCAGGCCCAGCACTTAACAGCCATATGACCCTAGGCAGATTGCAAAACTGAACTTCAGTGTCCTCCATAAAAACAGCAAAAATGGAGGCATTCTAGTTAAGGACTCAGGCCCAGCAGACCGACAAGAGTTCAAATCCCACCTTGAGCACTTATGAATTATGGGAACTTGTACAAGTTATTTTACTTTTCTGAGCCTTGGTTTCCTTGTCTGCCAAATGCAGATAATCTTTGCAGCATCCTCATGGGGTTTTGTGAGGACCAAATGACCTGGTGCCTGCGGAGTCCTTTGCTCAGTCCCTGGCATTTAGTAAGTGCCCAATAAGCTGTTGCGACTAGTGCAAACGGATGGGATTTGCTGGGACGTCACGAGAGCAGGTGCCCTGCCGGAAGGGTCTGTGGCAGGCCAAGCCGTGGAATCAGTAAGCCAAGCACAGGCCCATCTTCCCATAGCCAGGCGGCCCTGGGAATTGGTGGCTGAGGCCTGGGAGGGCCGCTTGTGACTGAGGTCCAGGGACTAAGCCACCAGGAGGCCGTTGACAGGTCCATGGGGGCAGCTTCGTTTAATGGGAACTGAAGCAGTGGGATGAGAGAGACAAAACCAGGCTCGCATCAGCATGTGCTGCCTCCCAGCCTCTCAGCTACCTCTCCTGCTACCTCTCCTCTCTGGGGTCAGGCCTCCCTCCCCCAACTCCCGCCAGATGCCACTCTGTAAACCCTGGAGCTGTGCTCCTACGCCACAATGCACCACGCACACGAATTCCCCGAGGAACTTCTTAATGCGCTGATTCGGATTCAGCCGTGGGGGTGGCCCGAGACCCTGCATTTCTAATCAGCTCCAAGGAATGCGAGGCCACGCTTTGAGTAGCAGCATCTAAAACATGATATAAATGTAGGTCATGAACATTAATAATAATGTGGGGTGTGGAGTTACTACCTGATCTGACTCTAGTAGACTTTGAGAGAAGCCTGTCTAGGAGAAAATTCTCCCCAGAGGTCAAAAGGAACTCCCCCACCCCAGGTTCCGGGGGTGCTAGATCTGATTTTGCTCCTAAGAGCAAAGACACAGGCAGAGGGCACCTTTCAGCTGGAGCCAGGTGGACAGTGGTTCCCAAACTGCAGAACACACACCAGCTGCATCAGAAGTACTTGGCGATTCGTTTTTTGTTTGCTTGTTTGTTTGTTTTTTGAGATGGAGTCTCGGTCTGTCACCCAGGCTGGAATGCAGTGGCACGATCTTGGCTAAATGGAACCTCTGCGCCCGGCTAATTTTTGTATTTTTAGTAGAGATGGGGTTTAAACATGTTGGCCAGGCTGGTCTTGAACTCCTAACCTCAAGTGATCCGCCTGCCTCAGCCTCCCAAAGTGCTGGGATTACAGGCGTGAGCCACTGTGACGACCGAATTTTTTTAAAATACAGATTCTGAGTCACGAAAAGACAGATCCTGTATGACTCCCTTATATGAAATATCTAAAGCAGTCAAATCCATAGAAACAGAAGTAGAATGCTGGTTGCCCAGGGGCTGGTTGGGAGGGAGAATGGAAAACTGTTGTTTAATGGGTATGGAGTTTCAGATTTGCAAGATGAAAAAGTTCTGGAGGTCTGCTTTACAATGATGTGAATATACTTAACACTACTGAACTGTCCACTTAAAGATGGTTAAGATGATAAATTTTATGTTATATGTTCTTTTTTTTCCCCACCATAATGATAGACAAAGACTTGCTCTGTCGCCCAGGCTGGAGTGCAGTGACTCAGTGGCTCTCGACTCACTGCAGCCTCCGCCTCCCAGGTTCAAGCCTCAGCCTCCTGAGTAGCTGGGATTATAGGTGCGTGCCACCACATCCGGCTAATTTTTGTATTTTTAGTAGAGACAGGGTTTCACCATTTTGGCCAGGCTGGTCTCGAACTCCAGGCCTCAGGTGATCTGCCTGCCTCAGCCTCCCAAAGTGCTGGATTATAGGCGTGAGCCACCATGCCCAGCCTCATAATGATAATTTTTTTAAAAAAACAGATTCTGGGCTAGGCGCCGTGGCTCACACCTGTGATCCCAGCACTTTGGGAGTCCGAGGCAGGCAAATTACCAGGTCAGGAGTTCGAGACCAGCCTGGCCAACATGGTGAAATCCCATCTCTACTAAAAATACAAAAAATTAGCTGGGCATAGTGGCAGATACCTGGAATCCCAGCTACTCGGGAGGATGAGGCAGGAGAATCACTTGAACCCAGGATGCAGAGGTTGCAGTGAGCCACTGCACTCCAGCCTGGGGGACAGAGTGAGACTCCGTCTAAAAAAAAAAAACAAACAAAAAACAAAACAAGAAAAAACAGATTCTGGCTCTAGCCCCTGAGATCCCATTTAAGTGCATCTTGAGTAGAGCCCAGAAACCTATTTTTTAAAATCTGCCTAGGGAATTTGGGTGCACAGCCAGGCTTGGGGACCACTGGCTAGGGGGAAGCTTTCCCCCGAACATCTCTGGAATCTTTCCACCTCTCCCACCTCCACCTCCACCTCCGTCTCCACGGCTGCGACTCCATTCTGGACAATGACAGAAACCCTCTCGCCCTCTCCCTGCCTCTGTCCTCTCCCTGCCTCCGTCTGCCACGCGGCTGCCCCGGTGATCTTTCAAAGCACAAATTCGATCCTGTTGCGCAGCTCCTTTAAAAGTGTTCCAATGCCTCCCGTTGCCCTCGGTACAAAATAGAAAAAAGCACAACCTTCTCAGCAGAGTCAAGTCAGGGATTCAGCTGTGCACATGGAGTATTACAGCAGGAAGCCTTTGGAGCAGCAGAGGTCCGTGCAAGGGCCCCGGGAGCACCGGGGGCGGGGGCACAGATGAATTCTGCCAGGAAGAGAGAGGTGGTGGGAAGGCTACCCAGAGAAAGAGGCATTGAGCTGGGCCTTGCGAGTGAGCTGGCGTTTGTCAGGAGAGTAGGGTGAAGGCAAAAGGCGGTGGCAGCAGGGGGATTCCAGGCAAGGGGGATAGCATCTGCAAAGCCAAGGAGGTGTTGGGGAGTATGTCCCCCTCAGTGCAGGCAGGGGCTGGGTGAGCTGGGAGAAGAGGGAAAGGTGAGGGTGGGAAGAGGTAGTGAGCAGACAGACTGTGAAAGTCCAGTTCAGCTGGGAAGCAGGGAGGGGGTGAGCCTCTCCATCGCCTCCCAGAGCCGTCCTGCCAGGGGCAGGTTACCAGCTTCAGGCCCTTGTCCTCACTCCCCGCCCCCGCCCCACCTCCCCACTGGTTGGTGGGGGCCTTGGGCAAGGCGATCGGGTCAGGACGGGAACATGTTCCTTGTCTGCTCCCCCAGGGGCCCTATGGCTTCCACTATCACTCAGTTCATACCCTTGGCTCTCTGCCTTCCTCCCTCAGGGCCTGCCTGGACACTTCTCCTTTCCCCTCACCCGTGTGTGTGTGTGTGTGTGTGTGTGTGTGTGTGTGTGTGTGTGTGTGTGGTGGTGTTGTTGTTGTTGTGTGAGTCCTGAAGGTCGTGTGGTCACCCAGTCTCCGTCTTTGACTGTCTAAAAGCTGGTATGGCACAGCATGCCTGTGTTTATGAACACATCCCTCCTGCCCGAGGGTTCCCAGCCCCAGGGTCAAGCCTCCCCGGGCCTTTCAAGGCTGTCAGAGGTGATTGTAGGGGCTACAGCAATAGAGACGCAGCCAGAGGGAGCAGGAGAGCTCCAGCCCACAATTCCAGGGGCCCCACGGCCAGCCACTTCCAGAGGAACACATGGCCTAAGTGAAAACAGAGAGCCCGCAGCACAGCCACAGCACCTGACGTGGCTGAATTCCCCTGCTGCCCCGCTCAGCGCCCAGCACCAGCCCGACACCACCGTAGAGGAACTCGGGCGCTGCATGCATTTCAGAAAGGGCCCCTTCGCCACAGTTAGAGCGCAAATAAATGGGTCTTCTGGGGCTGGGGCTGGGGCTGGGGCTGGGATTCCCTTTGCAGCCCCCTTCCCCACTGTGGAGGCCTCTTTCCTCCCCACACCTTCAACCCTGCAATTCCTCATCTGAAGCAGAAACAAGGTTCCACCCAGGCCATGGGGCCTGGCCATGCAGGTCAACCCTGGGTCCTGGTGGAGGACCCAAAGTCTCCCTGCTGAGGACCAACATCCAGTGGCCCCAGCTGCGGTGACATCACACAAGGGGCTCACACAAGGCTTCTGTCTTCCAGGAAGGAGATGGGAACAGAAATCTCCCTGCAAAGGCTGGAAAAGAAATCACGTCCCAGTGGCCGGGCGCGGTGGCTCACGCCTGTAATCCCAGCACTTTGGGAGGCCAAGGCGGGCGGATCACAAGGTCAGGAGATCGAGACCACGGTGAAACCCCGTCTCTACTAAAAATACAAAAAATTAGCCGGGCGCGGTGGCAGGCGCCTGTAGTCCCAGCTACTCAGGAGGCTGAGGCAGGAGAATGGCGTAAACCCAGGAGGCGGAGCTTGCAGTGAGCCGAGATCGCGCCACTGCACTCCAGCCTGGGCGACAGAGCGAGACTCTGTCTCAAAAAACAAAACAACAACAAAAAAAGAAATCACGTCCCAGAATTGTTGGCAGAAGGTTAATTGGATGCATTTGTAAGCTTATTCCTGGGACAGGCGTGTTAATAGCACTAAAACATCTGAAAACTTCCAGAGCCACACGGAGGAGTTAATAGGCCTGGAGAGTCCAAGGTCACATTGAGGCACCTCCCAGGAGTGGAAAGAGCAGTGGACCAGGAGTCTGACAGCCTGAACCCTTGACTCCTCACCACAGCTCGCTGTGGTCCCCAGGCAAGCCCCAGCCTCTCTAGACCTGGAAAACATTAGTGTGGAAGGCAGGTCGCCTAGGTCACCCGATGGAAGTCTCACTGTGGTCTTATATGATGATGTTATCATTATTTTTGTTTTGTGGAAGAGGAAACTGAGATTCCTCAAATGAGGTGGAATTTGCCACTGCTGGTGCTGGGGTCAGTACTGGAGCCTGACTGCAGGCCAAGGGCTGAAATCACAGGGCTGTCCCAAAGGCCAGCCAGGGAGACGTTCCCTTGGTGTCCACTGGGAGGCGCCCTAGACTGCGTCTCCTAGTTGGCACCAGCACCTGCATCCCTCAGCCAGAGTGGTCTCCCCTGGGTGATCTCTGGGTAAGGTGGGACTGGGGGCTGCCAGCTCCTGGGGCAAGGTCAGGAGGCTTCCTGGTCCTCCCTCCTCATTCTAGCCACCCCCATGAAGGAGCCTCCTGCCCTCACTTTCCAAGGGCAAGGGAGGGAAGAGTGAGGTTTCAAACCCATGAGGACGTGGGGCCCACTGGTTCCCTTCCTCAGGCCCTTGGGGAGCCCATGTATCAGATTGGAGTCAGCTACAAATGTCAGAGGTTCAGAGAGGGTTAGTCACTTGCCCAAGGTCACATAGTCAGGTCCATCTGATTCTTGAACACCTAAACTTTGTCCTGATTTAGGCGAGGCTCAGGGCAGATGTGATGGAATTCCGCCGGTCACATGGCCCACAGCAGGCAAGAAGGTGCTGGTCAGCTGGGCCTGCAAGTCCCACTGGTGGCAAAAGGGCTGAGTCTTGTAGAGGGGGTTCCTACAGTTACTTGAGGGTCCAGGGCTGGGTGCAGGTAGTCAGGACCGGGTGTTGGGGCTCGTGAAAGGGCAGGAGGAGGTATTTAGCCAGCGGATGTCCTTGGCATCAGGATCGGTGTCTGTATGTGAAAGTGGGCATGTAAGTGGGGGATAGGGTGGAGACAGAGGGCTGTGGCTCAGGCCCAAGACCCCAGGTCATGCTCACTCAGAATTCAAGTTTGTCAGCTTGTTAGAAGAATGAGGACGGTGACAGCCGGGGATGTGGGGAGGAGAGAGGCCTTTGGAGATGGGAGTTGGGGAGGCTGTGATTGGGGGATGTCGAGCAATGGCTTGAGGAGGTCGAAGGATTCAGCTTCCCGAGTGTTCCGAGTTGGTCTGGAGCTGACTGGGACCGGCTGGGCTGAGGGAGGGGAGGTGACAATGACATTGAGTATGGGGACACAGGGCTCTTCTCGCCCTGCTGGGCTTTCTGGAGGGTGGAGGACAACAGGAGGGAAGCCAAGCGTCCCGGGACAGAGCTTTGCAAAGTTACAGCCGGCTCCTGCCCTCTCTACGCAACTCTTGCAACAGGGACCCTCCCCTAGAGCAAGCCTGACCCTACTCAGACCCCTACCAACATAGAGACCATCTAACCCAACCCGTTACTCAGGTCACCTCACCACAGCAGAGGCAGGAGCAGGCCCAGGGTTGGAGACAAGCCCATCCCCAGGCCCCAGGGCTCACAGCAAAGCCAAGGAGACAAGCAGCCACCAGGTGCACCAGATTAAGGCTGTCCAGGTAGGGGACTCCATTTCCCAGTAGACAGATGTAGCCAGGGAGACTATAGGGCTAGAGGAGCCGTCCTGGAAAATCCCAGCCCTTCCCTAGCAGGTCACAGAACCGGCTCTCCCAGCTGAGGCCCTTCCCTCCCAGCAACGTGTCCAGGGGCACCTGACTTGAACTATAAATAGAGGATGACGGAAGGCTCCGGAAGCCCAAGGGAGGGCAGGAGAAAGGGATTCTGATTCTCCCCCAGCAAGGCCCTGCAAGGTTGCACTGACAGAGCAATGCCTCAGCACTGGGTCTTCGAGGTTGGATAGGACTGCCCCTGGCATCGGAGGTCCGGGAGGGCCATTCAGGCAGAGGGAACAGTCTGGGGAGGCAAGGAATGGAGCAGGCAGGTGGCTCCAAGAGGCCGGACGCAGGCTGCACAGGGCTGTGGCAGTTCCTGAGACCCAGTGGTCAAGGGCTGTGAATGTCAGGCTAAGGGCTTTGTTCTGGAGGCCTGAATCTTGCTCTTAAAGTAAGAGGAGTTAAGAGAAACTCAACTTAAGTTCAGGAGTTAAGAGTAACACACAAGGCCGGGCACAGTGACTCATGGCTATAATCCCACACTTTGGGAGGTTGAGGCAGGTGGTCACTTGAGGTCAGGAGTTCAAGACCAGCCTGGCCAACATGGTGAAACCCTGTCTCTACTAAAAATAGAAAAATTAGATGGGCATGGTGGCGCACACCTGTAATCCCAGCTACTCAGGAGGCTGACGCAAGAGAATTGCTTGAATCTGGGGGGCAGAGGTTGCAGTGAGCTGAGATTATGCCACTGCACTCTAGCCTGGGCAACAGAACAAGACCCCATCTCAAAAAAAAAAAAAAAAAAAGTAACACACAAGAACATGTAACATACAAGAACAAGGTCACCTGGAGCAGAGTACCAGAAAGTACATGGCCATCTTTCCCACGTGGAATGGAGAAATACCAAGGTGTGCCAGAGACTGCTAACTATTCCCCAACATCTGTTCTCTGTCTTCTTTGCCACGGAACCCCGGTTTTTTGCTGGGCAAACAACCCCCTGAAATATAAGCTATATTTCCCAGCCTCCCTTATAGCCAGGTATGGCCATGTGTGTAAGTTATAAGAAGAAGTGCCATTCAGAGGCAGGAGGTTGCACCCTGTTACCTCTTCTCCTTTTCTGCTGGAAAGGAATATGCATGTGATTGCTCGAGGAGAAGCAGCTATCTTGGATCATGAGGTAGAAGCCCCATGTTAAGGATGACCAAGCCACAAGAAGGAATTGATCTGAGTTTCTGACGTTTGTGGAGCTGCCACACCAGCCCTGGACCAGAACCTCCAAATATTGTTTACTCAAGAGAAAAATAAACTTCTTTTTTTTTTTTTTTTTTTTGAGACGATTCGCTGTGTCTCCAGCTGATGCAGTGTATCTCGGCTCACTGCAAGCTCCGCCTCCCGGTTACGCATTCTGCCTCAGCCTCCAAGTAGCTATACCCCCCACCCCCCTAGTTTTGTATTTAGTAGACGGTTTCACCATGTACCAGATTCTCTCCTGACCTCGTGTCCCCGCCTCGCCTCCCAAAGTGCTGGGATTACAGGCTTGAGCCACCGCGCCCGGCCAATAAACTTCTATATTATAGTTTACCACATAATTTCTTAAGTTTTCCTTCAGATGAACATAACCTAAGCACATACAGGTAAGGAATTAACCTGGAGAGCTCTTATACCACTGAAATAAATTCACAAACTAGACAAAAAAAGAAAAACCCCAGGGGCATTTTATATATCTTTTTTTTTTTTTTTTGAGATGGAGTCTCGCTCTGTTGCCCAGGCTGGAGTACAGTGGCATGATCTTGGCTCACTCCAACCTCCGCCTCCCGGGTTCAAGTGATTCTCCGGCCTCAGCCTCCCGAGTAGCTGGGACTACAGGCACCCACCACCATGCCTGGCTAATTTTTTGTATTTTTAGTAGAGATGGGATTTCACTGTGTAAGCCAGGCTGGTCTCAATTTCCTGACCTTGTGATCCGCCCTCCTCAGCCTCCCAAAGTGCTAGGATTACAGGTGTGAGCCATCGCACCCAGCCTTACCTCTTAAATAGTGAGAGGTATGCTCTGATTACATTCCAGATATCCTCTCTCATGAACTCTCTGCAGAACCTTCCTTCCAGGTGTAGGGATGGAAAAGGTGTGATACCTCTTCTCACCCATCATAAGGGTCACAGGCCAACACTCCTATACTAAAAGACAGAGAGAAGTTAACAAGAGAAGAGCATAACAAATGTATTTAATCAAAATTTTACATGACACGGGGGCCTTCGGAAATGAAGACCTAGGCCAGGCGTGGTGGTTCACGCCTATAATCCCAGCACTGTGGGAGGCTGAGGTGGGTGGATCACTTGAGGTCAGAAGTTCAAGATCAGCCTGGCCAACATGGTGAAACTGTGTCTCTACTAAAAACACAAAAAATTACACAGGCACGGTGGTACGCACTTCTAGTTCCAGCTACCCGAGAGGCTTGAGACATTAGAATTGCTTGAACTCGGGAGGTGGAGGTTGCAGTGAGCTGAGATCATGCTATCGCACTTCAGCCTGGGCAAGAGAGCAAGACTGTGTCTCAAAACAAACAAACCAAAAGAAAAAAAAAGAAAAGAAATGAATACCCAGAGAAAACTGTACAGTACCTTTTTATGCAAAGGTTCAATGCAGAATGGACAGTCATATAGGAATGTGATTGGACCAACCAGGCACGGGCTCTATACCTGTAATCCCAGCACTTTGAGAGGCCAAGGTGGGTGGATTACTTGAGATCAGGAGTTCGAGATCAGCCTGGCCTACTAAAAATACAAAAATTATCTGTACTTGGTGGCGGGCACCTGTAATCCTAGCTATTTTAGAGGCTGAGGCACAAAAATCACTTGAACCCAGGAGTTGGAGGTTGCAGTCAGCTGAGATCTCACCCACTGCACTCCAGCCTAGGCAACAGAGTGAGAGTCCATCTAAAAAAAACCCGTGATTGGAACAAAAGAGTGTGACTTAAGGGTAATAGGCCAAGGGAGGGAACTCAGCAATGACTGTGTGTTCACATTCTTCTTGGCCTGTCTGCCATATTCCTTATTTCTAGTATGGGGCAGGACCCTGCTAAGAGCAAGGGTCTTACGGCCTACTATCAGACCAAGTAGGCTCAGAGAATTTCCTTATGACCAGCTCCTACACAGAAAGGCAGGGGAAGGTTAGAGTAATAGTTGTACTTTCTTTTCCTCCTTTTTCTTCTTCTCCTTTTTCTTCTCCTTCTCCTTCTCCTCCTTCTTCTTCTTCTTCCTTCTTCTTTTCTTGAAACGGAATCTTGCTCTGTCACCTGGTCTGGAGTGAAATGGCACGATCTTGGCTCACTGCAAACTCCACCTCCTGGGTTCAAGCAATTCTCTTGCCTCAGCCTCCCGAGTAGCTGGGACTGCAGGTGTGCACCACCATGCCTGGCTATTTTTGTATTTTTAGTGGAGACTGAGCTTCGCTATGTTGGCCAGGCTGGTCTCAAACTCCTAACCTCACGTCATCCACCCTCCTTGGCTTCCCAAACTGCTGGGATTACAGGCATGAGCCATCACACCCGGCCCCCAATATTTCTACTTTCTATGACCTCCCTTAGGTAAGAGGAATTCTCATTTCTATGGCTGCTTTGAGGGAGAAAAGGGGGACAGGTCAGAGAGAGAGATACTGCTTCCGGGGCTGCTTCTGAGACCTTCCAGTCTCCTTTAGCTCAAAGTGCTCAGCATGCCACAGCACCATACTTTGGGATATCATTATCTGAGCCCCAATACAGGGAAGGAAGTTTCAGTAGGATGCTTGAAAATGAGCTGTCTTTGTTGCAGATGACATGCGACATCCTATGACAGCGTGATTCCCATGCCAGGCCCCCCATCCGGACAGGCCTGGTTTTCTGGACCCTGTGACTCAGGGCCCCGAGAGCCACGGGCTCACAGAGGTCCCAGAAACTTTATTTGACCCCTTTGGCATCCCTGGATGGCTCCTTTGTCTCCTTTTCCAAAACACATGGTTGTGTGGTCTTATCCCGGCCACAATAACTACATAAGAACAAGAAGCTGCCATTCACTGAAGACGCTACCGTGTGCCCCTACGAGATCAGTACCCTAGGAGCGGCCTGGACATGTGCCCTCTCCCCCTGGCTGGGACGGAAACAGAGGGGATGTGGCTCTTGGCTAAGGATTTAATGGAGCCCTTTTAGGGAACAGCCTTCTCCATGTGGAACTGAGGGAGCAGCTGTTAGGGGCCCAGGCACCACTCTGCATGGTCATGCCACTTACTGGATCCGGGGCCAGCAGTGTCAAGAACAGGAGGTGGCTGGGGCATGTTTCCCTCCACCTTATGGCTCAGGCTCTGCTGCTCTGTCTCTGAGTCTTCTGTTTGCCTTCAGGAGCGGCTTGTGGTGTTCCCAGGGTATGGGGGTCCCGCCTGTGGAGGGAGATCTGCAGGTGAGCTAGGAGGGGCCGCCCAGATCCCTGACACTGCAAAGGCCCAACCCACAACCTACTCCCCATGCTGGGGCTGGAATGTCTTGGTCATTCCTCCTTACCCTGGTTGCTAGTAAGGTCCCTCCTGGTCCTGCATCATACCCAGTGGGACACACTTTCCAACACCCTATGGGGAGGGGACATTCACACGGGCAAGGCAGGAAGAGCCGGCAAGTTTGAGGTTAAGAGAGCGTGGGATGAATGAATGATAGGACCCAGAACCGCCTAGGTTTGATCTTGACTCCACTACCAGCTCTGGGAGCTGCCCAATAACTTGACCTCTCTGAGCCTCAGTTTCCTCATTTGGATAACAAGAAAACTCATAATACCTTCCTCCTAGGGTTGTCATGAGTATTAAACGAATTAACACGTGTCAAAGTTTAGGATGGTGCTGGCACATAAAACCTGCTCAAAGAAGAATAGCTGTTAGTATTAGTATCAGCGTTAGGATTATTGTTAAAGTATTATTATTATTATTATTATTTTGAGACAGAGTCCTACTCTGTCGCCCAGGCTGGAATGCAGTGGCGCGTTCTCAGCTCACTGCAGCCTGTGCCTCCAGGGTAGCTGAGATTACAGGTGCCCACCACCACACCTGGCTAATTTTTTTGTATTTTCAGTAGAGATAGGGTTTCACCATGTTGGCCAGGCTGGTCTTGAACTCCTAACCTCAGGTGATCTGCCTGCCTCGGTCTCCCAAAGTGCAGGGATTACAGGCATGAGCCACTGCGCCTGGATTGTTACAGTATTTCAAGAGATAAACTCAAACTCAGTGAGCCCCTTAAGGGAAGAGAACTAGTTAGGAATTAACTTCTGAAATGCCACCGCAGACATGCTCTCTCTAGCACACACCTTGAAGTATGACTCCGCACCACTGTAAAGTTATGTAGTCACTCCAGCCCATCGGGAAGAGGGTCTCATCCTGTTTAGGGAAGTGGAGGAGTGTAGTGGTTTTAAGTGCAGACTTTGGGGCCAGACTGCCTGAGTCTGAATCTGAGCTCTGCACTGCTGGAAGTTTCCTTAACCCTCTGTTTCTTGGTTTCCTCACTTGAGGCATGGGAAGACGCAAGCACCTATCTGCGAGGTTTAAGTGAGATCATGTGTGTCTGGTGAGCCCTGGTGATGGCCTGGCATTGGTGGCACTGTGGACTAGGGGCTGGGTACAGGAGGGTCGGGGCTGCCACAGGCCACCCCCGCTGGTGTCCCTAAGGGGTTGTGCCCAGGAGCTCCAGTGTGACCAAGGGGGGGGGTGGCAAAGTCACACCATAACTCCCTCATAGGCTCCTCTCTCCGAAGAGCCCTCAATGCAGAGGGGCCCGAGTGGCTGCCTCAGGTGACCAGACAGGTTCAGGCTCTGTCCAGCTCCCTCCAAGCTGGAGGCTGCTGACTGTGCAGGGCACAGGGTGGGGCACACTGGTCCCCACTTGGTCATCTCATTCAAGCCTCCCTATACCTACCTCCAGGAGGCTGGCATTTACTGCCCCATTCTGCAGACAAGGGACTAAGGCCCAGAGACCCAGACATGGGGGTATCAATTCCAGGCCTGACTGACCCTGGAGTGGCCTCATTCCTCACCAGGACATCCTTGGCCTCCCCGCTCTGGGATAAAGCCACTGTCCTCCATCTCAGGTGCAGAGTCAGTCATACATACTTTCCCTCCCTCCAGGTCTAACTTTCCACCCCAGCTCACTTTTCTGTTCCCACTTGCTGGTTCCCCGCTTTCTCTATGTATCTGAAAGCTCACCCCTGTAATCCCAGCTCTTTGGGAGGCTGAGGCGGGCAGATCACTTGAGGTCAGGAGTTCGAGACCAGCCTGGCCAACATGGCAAAACCCTGTCTCTACTGAAAATACAAAAATTAACTGGACATGGTGGTGCACGCCTGTAATCCCAGCTTCTTGGGAGGCTGAGGTGGGAGGATCGCTTGAACCTGGGAGGTGGAGGTTGCAGTGAGCCGAGCTCATGCCACTGTACTCCAGCCTAGGCAACAGAGTGAGACTCAAAAAAAAAAAAAAAAAAGGTCAGTGATTTTTCATGCCTATGAACTCTGTCATGGAACCTCAGAGACTCACAGAGGTAAAAAGGAAGCCCTCCCTTCTAGAACTTGTCTGGGAGCTGGGGAGGAGGTTATGGTCTGGAGCAGACATTCTGTAGCCAGGGAGGTTGGAGAGATCTGCCCTGGAGACAGCCAGGAGGGCTTCCTGGAGATGGTGGACCTTGAGACAGGCTTGGAAGAGATGGGGCCTTTTGGCCAAAACAATTCATGAAAGGCAATGAGTGCCTGCAGACCTGGGATCAGATCTCAGCCTTGCTGCCACCTAGCTGGGTAACCTTTGTCCTGGTAATTAACCTGTCTTTGCCTCAATGTCCCCATCTGGAACAGAGGCATCAAGTCACTGATGAAGGAGTGTGACTTCATGGAATGAGCACTAAAGTGTGAGTCCAGAGGCCTGGGTCCCCACTGCACTGCTAACAGGTCAAGCAATGTGGATAATGGTCATGGCTGGGCTGATTGGTGCTTGCGTGGTGCTGTATGCTTTACATATATTATCTCATTTAAATGTCACAGTCACCTTACTTGGGAGGTCTCCATTTTTCAGATGAGGAAGCATGTCCAGAGAAGTCTGGTGACTTCCCCAAGGTAACACAGTTGGCATATGTCAGAGAGGGTGGCTGTCAGATTCTCGAGCTTGTGCCCCTAACATTCTGGACACTTTGACTGACGCTCCCTCTCAGGCTTCCCCATCATTAAAAAGGGCAGGGAGTGGGCAGGTGACATTCTGCTCCATCACAACTCGCAGCCCAGCTGCCTACTGTAGCAGGAAGGGTCCCTGCTGGAGCCAAGTGCCCTCACCCGGGCCTTTTAGCAACTTCCCTGACGCCCCCACCCTCAGGATGGTGAGAAGTCGTGCCTGGGAGCGCTTTTCCTGCCTTTGAGAGGGTGGGGCCTTGGGGAGGGAGGAGCTGGGTCCCTAGTGCCCAGGTCTGCCGGCTAAATTTAGGTGCTGGGGCATAGAAGGAACAAGGGTAATTAAGGGGTGTGGTGTCACTTTCCAGCCGCCTCTCACATCCCCTGAGAAGTCACACGCCATTTGGGAAGGAGCAAGGAGGCGTGGGTGATAGAGGGGAGGAGAGGGGAGGAATGATGGACAGTTGGAGCTGGAGGTGGGAGAAACCCACAGCTCCTCCACAAACCTGACGGCTGCCTGAATCACAGGGAGGCAATTTTCAGCCAATAACCCCGAGGGATTCCTTCAATTAACACCATTCATAAATGGAAAATCCTGCCCTGAAGGTAGTGACCCCTGCCATTGGAAATGCTCTGCCCAAAAGGAAATCAAGCAAGCATTGATCAGGGGCAAGACGCAACAGGATTTACACGTATGTTCTCAGCAAGCCCTTGCAACAACACTATAAGGAAGGTGTTATCACTCCCATTTTACAGAAGAGGAAACTGAAGAGTTAGCCTCCCAGGTTGCACAGCTGAGGCTTGGGGGAGCCAGGATCTGAACCAGGCAGGCTGGCTCCAGAGCCGTGTGCTTAGCTGCAGGGTACAGCTAACTCTGGCCCACTGCAACACGGTCAGCTATCACTCTGCAATCAGAGGATTATGAAGAAGGTTTAAAGAAGGCTTTGCTGAAGAGATGAGAAGTCATTGTAGGTGGCAGACACTGCCTCTGTAAAGACTAAAAGGTAAGTCTGCCAACCCCAAAGTGCACAGGCTGATGTCAAAGCAAGCATGAACCTTCTGTGCTGGAGCCTTCACAACTGTTGCTTTATCCCTGTAAGTATCAAAATCAGACCTGAAGCCTGAGCACCGTGGCTTATGCCTGTAATCCCAGCACTTTGGGAGGCTGAGGCGGGCGGATCACTTGAAGTCAGGAGTTTGAGACCAGCCAACATGGTAAAACACCATATCTACTAAAAATACAAAAATTAAGGCCGGGCACAATGGCTCATGCCTGTAATCCCAACACTTTGGGAGGCCTAGGTGGGTGAATCACTGAGGTCACGAGCTCAAGACCAGCCTGGCCAATATGGTGAAACCCCATCTCTACTAAAATTACAAAAATTAGCTGGGCATGGTGCTGTGTACCTGTATTTCCAGCTACTTGGGAGGCTGAGGCAGGAGAATCATTTGAATTCGGGAGGCGGAGGTTGCAGTGAGTTGAGTTGGTGCCACTGCACTCCAGCCTGGGTGACAGAACAAGACTCCATCTCCAAAAACAAACAAACAAAAAACAAAAATTATCAGGTCATGGTGGCAGGCATCTGTGATACTAGCTACTTAGGAGGCTGAGGTAGGAGAATCGCTTGAACCCTGGAGGTGGAGGTTGCAGTGAGCCGAGACTGTGCCACTGTACTCCAGCCTGGCTGACAGATACCCTGTCTCAAAAAAAAAACGAAAACAAAAACAAAAAAACCCAGACCTGAATCATCCCATTAAAAATGGGCAAAGGATTTAAATAGGCATTTCTCCAAAGCAGATATACAAATGGCCCCTAAGCACAAGAGAGATGCTCAGCATCATTAGTCATGGCGGAAATGCAAATCAACACCACAATGAGATACCCCTTCCCACCACTAGGATGGGCTACAGTAAAAAAGAAAGACAATAACAAGTGCTGGAAGGGATGTGAAGAAATTGGAACCCTTGTGCCTTGTGCTGGGAATGCACAGCAGTGCAGTAGAAAACAATTTGGCAGTTCCTCAAAAAGTTAAACATGAATTACCATATGATCCAGCAATTCCACTCTTAGGTGTATACCTAAGATACCTGAAAACATAAGCCCACAAAAAAAAAATAGTGCTCCTATGAATCTGAATGTTCATAGGCTGGATCTCGGCTGACTGCAACCTCTGCCTCCTGGGTTCAAGCGATTCTCCTGCTTCAGCCTCATGAGTAGCTGTGATTACAGGTGTGCACCACCACACCTGGCTAATGTTTGTATTTTTAGTAGACTCGGGTTTCACCAGGTTGGTCAGGCTGGTCTCAAACTCCTGACCTCAGGTGATCTACCAGCCTTGGCCTCCCAAAGTGCTGGGATTACAGACATGAGCCACTGCCCCCCGGCAAAAGTGGAAACAGGTTAAATGTCCATCAACTGATGGATATACCCATACAGTGCAATATTATTTGGCAATAAAAAGGAATGAAGTACTGATACATGCTACAAGATGAGTGAACCTTAAAAGCCTTATTCTAAGTGAAAGAAGCCAGACACATTTGATATAATTCCATTGATATGAAATGTCCAGAATCAACAAATTCACAGGAACAGAAAGTAAATGAGTAATTTTCAGGGCTTGGGTGTGGGAGGGAATGGGGAGTGACTGCTATTGGGTGCAGGGTTTCTTTTGGGGGTGATGTAAATGTTCTGAAATAGATACTAGTGATGAATGCATGACTTTGTGAATATGCTAAAAACCACTGAAGCGTATACTTCGAAGGGGGAGCTAAGGTACCCATAAATTACATGTGAATTATATATACATATATATCAATAAAGCTGTTATTAAAAAAACCTCCCAGACTCGTCTCTAATATTTGCAAGAGCACAAATGAAGACCCACATACCATATGCTTAAATATTTCAAAATCAAGCGAACAAGCTGTTAAATAAAATATGTTCTCTTCTCTACCTTGACAAATATACCTTCATAGTGGCACAATTGCAAAGCATGCGTAAAGCTCTGGTTTTTATATGCTCGAAAGCTGGTGTGTTTGGGTATTCTGTTGAAGGGCCGGCTGTGTTTAGACAAGTGATCAAATAAAGACATACATAATTCATAAATTCTTATAGTTTTAGTCCATAAAAATGTTCAGGCCTTTATTTCACCAAAATTGCTAATTTGTGTTTTAGTGACAATACCCATCCAAAAAGACTAAAGAAATAAAATATAGTTTTTATCCAAAAGGTAAATTATAGTAAAGGTAAAATTTTAAATATTTTTAAAAGGTATTTTTCTAAAATATCCAAAATTATTTATTGAAATTAAAAGGTAAAATACAAATTATAATGAGTGCAACTGTTTTTGGAGACAGAGTCATGCTCTGTCACCCAGGCTGGAGTGCAATGGTGTGATCTTGGCTCACTGCAACCTCCACCTCCCAGACTCAAGCAATTCTCATGCCTCAGCCTCCCAAGTAGCTGGGATTACAGGCGCATGTCACCATGCCCAGATAATTTTTGTATTTTTTGCAAAGACAGGGTTTCACCATGTTAGCCAGGCTGGTCTTGAACTCCTGGCCTCAAGTTATTTGCCCGCCTTGGCCTCCCAAAGTGCTGGGATTACAGGTGTGAGCCACTGCACCCAGCCTAGTGTAGCATTTTAAATAATCATTTTAAATTAAATCTGGGGCTGGGCATGGTGGCTCACACCTATAATCCCAGTGCTTTGGGAGGCCAAAGTGGGAGGTTCGCTTGAGGTCAGGAGTTGCTTAGGCCACATAGCAAGACCTTATCGCCACAAAAAATTTAAAAATTAGGTAGACATGGTGTCACACACCTGTGACCTCAGCTACTCAGGAGGCTGAGGTGGGAGAATCACTTAAGCCCAAGGATTCAAGACTGCAGCGAGCCATGATCACACCATTACACTCTAGCCTGGGCTAGAGAGTGAGACCTTGTCTCTAGAAAAATAATCATTTAAAAAATATATTAAATCTGAATTTTCATTAATCTTTTGAAATTGTAATAACATTTTATTAACCATTTTTAGAAAAATGACATATTAGCAATTCCAGTGTTTAACACCATATTAGTTTATTAGCTCGTTTTCACACTGCTAATAAAGACATACCCAAGACTGGGCAATTTACAAAAGAAAGAGGTTTATTGGACTTACAGTTCCACGTGGCTGGGGAGGCCTCACCATCATGGCAGAAGGTGAAAGACACGTCTCACATGGCAGTAGACAAGAGAAAAGAGAGAATGAGAGCCAAGTGAGATGGGTTTCCGCTTATGAAACCATCAGATCTCGTGAGACTTATTCATTACCATGAGAACAGTATGGGAGAAACCAACCCCATGATTCAATTATCTCCCACCGGGTCCCTCCCACAACACGTGGGAATTATGGGAGTACAGTTCAAGATGCAATTTGGGTAGGAACACAGCCAAACCACATCAAACACCCATCTAGTTGGTACTGTAAATAATCAGTATCACACTTCATGCATGCTATATCTAAATTTATATACACAAATATAAGAATAAGTGAATGGTTTAAACATTGTAAAAGGTTCCTCAGCTGCTATAGGCATCATTGTGGATATTGCATTAATCCACAAGACTCTGGAACCAAGAATTGGTACATGAAGAAAAGTTAAGAAAATGGACAGTTGACTCTGCCGAGAAAAGGCTTTGGTTTGCAAGAATCTACTGCATTCGAGCTCTCCGAGAGCGAAGATTTAACACATTCATCTTAGGCTTTTCTCTCACATAAGCACTGCTGCCTCTCAAGTCTACCCTGTCCTCAGAAGCAGAATCTGTCTCTCAGCTCAGGAGTTGAACAACCCCCAAACCTTCACACATTCTAGACTTAGATCACCTTTTGTATCCAGGACCTAGAGCAAGAGAAGAGGAGAAGTGGTCCCCTGGGGCATGGATGGTTCTAGTCACAGGAGTGGCTGTTTAGGGCTGTCCTGAGCTGAGGCCAAGGATGCCTCTTCCCCTGGTCTGCCAGTGGGACGGAAGGAAAGCACAGCCCTTCCATGGGTCACACATCCCAGTGGATGAATTCTCGCGAGAGTTGCCTCTTTGGTCCCCTGACCCTACTGTCTTCTCTCGCTTGTCCATCTGCCTACCAGCTGGCCCCAACACCCCCTTCCTCACTGGCTGTCCTGCCACCCCTGTCTGCCAAGCGTCAGCCTCAGCAGGGGGTAGAGAGGGGCTACCCCCTCTCCCCAGCTGACAGGCAGATTATGTAGCCATCTCTCCCGGAAGAGGGGGCGACAAGGGTAATTTCCCACCCACCAGCTAGCCACCCAGAGGACCGGGCTCTGCCCTGGGAGGTTATGACAACAGGGGAAGGCTTCCTTCACCTCCCAATATGGCCAATGCCTCCCGCCTCCAGAAAGCTTCTGGGTGCTGGAGCTTTGAAGATGCCCAGCCCCCTAGTCCTCTAAAGGGGGCTTGTCAACCAAGCAGTCATATCACGTTGCGGGGCTGTAGAAAGAGTTCTGGCTGCAGCCTTAGGAGGCCTGGGTTCCAGTCCTGCTCCTGCTTTGCTGTGTGACCCTGGGCAAGTTATTTCCTCTCTCTATACTCCGGTGCCCTGATGTATAAATGGGCCTGGCTGGGGGATGACCAGCTCCAAGCCCCCTCCGTTGTGTAACAGTGCAGACCCTGTTGGTTGCCCACCAAATTCCTTTTCCCTCCCTCCCTACTTGCTGACCAGATTCCAATTTTGTACAGGGTTGCCACATTCCCCCACCTCACATCTGTATAAACAGAAGTTGACAGTGTGGGATTTCAGGAGAGTTTTCACTTTTAAAAATAAGGGGCAGGCCGGGCGCGGTGGCTCAAGCCTGTAATCCCAGCACTTTGGGAGGCCGAGGCGGGCGGATCACAAGGTCAGGAGATTGAGACCACAGTGAAACCCCGTCTCTACTAAAAATACAAAAAATTAGCCGGGCGCGGTGGCGGGCGCCTGTAGTCCCAGCTACTCAGGAGGCTGAGGCAGGAGAATGGCGGGAACCCGGGAGGCGGAGCTTGCAGTGAGCCGAGATCGCGCCACTGCACTCCAGCCTGGGCAACAGCGTGAGACTCCGTCTCAAAAAAAAAAAAAAAAAAAAAAATAAGGGGCAGACTGGGCTCGTAGGGTTTCTTTTGGTCCTAACTTCCATTTTTCTTGCCAGGAATCTGAATGTGAAGTCTGGAGGTATGGCAGCCGTTGTGGCACCATAAGGTTGAAAGTCAACATGTAAAGCTCTGGGAGCAGGAAGCTGGCATCTTGAGGCCAGCACACTGGCTCTGGGCAGCTTGCCTCCAGGGTCCTTGTTACGTGACAAGAGAAAGCCCTGAAGTGTCTAAGTCACAGTTTTTGGGTTTCCTTTGTCTTAGGACCAAATGTGCTCCTCATAGACACAGATTAGAATCTGTCTGTGGGGTGTGCTGGGCGCAGTGGCTCACGCCTGTAATCCCAGCACTTTGGGAGGCCGAGGCGGGTGGATCACTTGAGGTCAGGAGTTCAAGACTACCAGCCTGGCCAACATGGGGAAACCTGGTCTTTACTAAAGTACAAAAATTAGCCGGGCGTGGTGATGTGCCCCTGTAATGCCAGTTACTCTGAAGGCTGAGGGAGGAGAATCGCTTGAACCCAGGGGGCGGAGGTTACAGTGGTTGCAGTGAGCCAAGATCGCGCCATTGCACTCCAGACTGGACAACAGAGTGAGACTCAGTCTCAAAAATTAAAAAAAAAAAAAGGGAATCTGTCTGTGGGGTGTCTCCATTGCTCTAGGTCACTTTAGGATGTTTGGACTTGTGCCTGGAAGGTATTACTATTATTATTATTATTATTATTTTGATATGGAGTCTTGCTCTGTCACCCAGGCTGGAGTGCAGTGGCGTGATCTTGGCTCACTGCAAGCTCAGCCTCCTGAGTAGCTGGGACTATAGGCACATGTCATCACGACCGGCTAATTTTTGTGTTTTTAGTAGAGACAGGGTTTCACCGTGTTGGTCAGGCTGGTCTTGAACTCCTGACTTCAGGTGATCTGCCCCCCTCAGCCTCCCAAAGTGCTGGGATTACAGGTGTGAGCCACTGCGCCCGGCCATACACATTTGTTAACCTGTTTGCACGTCTCCATCTCCCCCTTGCTCTCTTGTAAGCCCCTGCAGGTCTAGAATGGTGTCACTCACTGTCTCAGTGTCCCAGGGCTGCCATCACAACATACCACAAACTGAGTGCCTTGAAACAACAAAGCTTGATTGTTTCCCAGTCCTGGAGGTCACGCATCTGAAATCAGACATCAGCAGGGCCGTGCTCCCGCCGAAACCTGCAGGGGAGAACCCTCCTTTGCCTCTCCCTACGTTCTGGTAGTTGGCTCGGTTTTCCTCGGCTTGTGGATGCATCACTCTCATCTCGGCCTCTGTCACCGCCTGGCATTCTCCTAGTGTGTCTGTGCCTTCACAGGGCTGTCTTCCCTCTTCTCAGAAGGACACCAGTCATATTGGATTAAGGGCCACCCTACTTCAGCAGAACCTCGCCTTAATTTGATTACATCTGCAATGGCCCCATTTCCAAATAAGGTCATATTCCGTGGTGCTGGGAGTAAGGACTTCAACATTTCCTTTGGGGGGATATAATTGAACCCATGACTATCCGCAAGGCACCTGGCACAAGAGATATCTGCGGGATGAACAACAGATACAAATAAATAGATCCTTCTGATTGTGAGCCCCCAGGGGCAGGGCTCAGCACCCCATCTCTGTGTCCTGGGCCCTAGGTCAGAGCCTGCTCTCCTGAGGGCAGGTAGATGGATTTTCATTGAGATGTATCACAGGGAATCTGCCCAGCCAGCTGGCTGACCAAGCCACCCCTGATGAGAGTCCTCTGGCCGGGGCTGGGGGTGGCCCAGGGAGGGGTTTTCACCCCTCAAAGGTGCAGGCCTGACTGCTGAGTCCAGAAAAGCTGACAGTTTGCTCAGTACCGCTGCCACTCAGCACAGACGGGGCAATCCCCAGGGAGATGTCGCAGGCAGCCGGGGGCGACTGATGTCTTGGTGACACTGCTAATCCGGGGCCCAAGCTACCCTTGTGTGTGTGCGTCAGGCTGACTTGCAGTGGGAATACAAGGGGACCTGGCTGGGAGGGGGCAGCGGATGCTGAATCAGGGAAGAGTGGGCTCCTCCTGCATGGGTTGGGGAGGGGAGGGCAAGCTGGGTTCTGCAGGGCCTACCTTCCCGTCCCCCATGCCAAACAGCCCCTGGCCACCACCACCTGCCCCCTCTTCCCCTTCAAGGCTCCAGCATCCGGTGGCCAGCCTGGCTGCACTCAGGGAGCTGGAAGGGGAGGAAGGACCAAGGCAGCAGCCGTAAAGGTCAGCAGCCCTTGGGGCTGGGAACATCCATGATGCAAATGTGGAATTTACACTCCTGGAGTGCCTGTTGGCCAGCCTCCCGCCTGTTTCTATGCCAGCCAGCAGCCTGGGCAGCACGGGCACAGCAGATGTTGTGGGCCCTGGCTGGAACGGACAGCTCTGGGACTCCCCACTGCTCTGCGCACCTCCCCAGTAGAGCCTTGATGTGCATGGGGGAGTGCCTCGGTGGGACTGGGCAGGTCTGCTCCGGCTGGATGAGCGCAGTGCATCCTACTGGTTGCGGGCTGTCTGCCTGGGATCTGCAACCTCAACTCTCCTGGTTCCACGGCTGAAAGGGCCAGACGTGGGGAGAACAACTAGACACTAACCATGCCCTTTCCCATTCATCCTGCTCCACCCAGCTTCTTTCCAAGACCAGTTCCATTCAATGACTTTCCTGATCTTCACAGGGACTTGGGATGAGGGGAGGGAGAGGCAGGACCATGGAGCACTCCTCTGTGCCAGGGGTTTTCCTTTAAACCTTCTAACAGCCCTGCTCTTATCATCCTGCTATTCCAGGAGAGGAAACTGAGGTTCAGAGAGAAAGCCTCCCAACAAGATCACACGCCCAAAGAATGGCAGAGCCGGGACTTAAATCCACGTCTCTATCATTTCCTACAGCTCAAGGAGCTGACTCTAATCTTTACTCAGTATCCCCCGTTCCTGGCCACTGTTCTGCAAACTGCTTAGCCTAGCAGACCTGAAACGATGGCCTCCAAACCTCACACCAGGCACTGAGAGTCACACGCCTTTGCTGTGTGTGTGTGTCTGTGTGTGTGTGTGTGTCTCTGTGTGCGTGTGTCCCATGCAGTTGTGCAGTGTCGTGGGACTGTGTGGTGACTGAAAGGCC